CAAATCCTTCTCTTCAGGGCTACTCTCAATCAGGAGATCCAAGCCCATGTGGCTCCAAGGCTAGCAAGGCTCGGGTACCTGGCCATGCGAACCCCCAGGAAGCAAGGACGTTAGGTGTCCCAGCACCAAGGCTGTCATGACAGTCCCACTGGGAAGAGTGAGGGGTCCCCACTCCTGGCTGGCCAGAGTAGCTCAAACCCCACGCAGCTGGGTCTGACCCCTTTTGCTCGAAGTTCTTCTTCTCCGAGGGCTGTGCTGCAACATTCATCCCGCGATCTTCACAACACCCCCGGGGTAAGGAGACGACCTAGAGCTATAATTCACTCCAAATGCACTCTGGCTCAGAGAAGTGAAGAGATGTGTTGCAGCCACTCCACAGGTTGACAGCAGTGCTGGGCACAGAGGTTGGGCATCCCAGCTTCCCGGTCCAACAGTACTGCCTACATAGCTGGAAATCATATGCGGTGTTGTCTTGCTCCGATCAGCCGAGCAACACAGAGGACGGACCCTCAGAGCCAACAAAAGGTTTTCCACTCCTCTCAGCAGCTAAAATTCACCGTCCTCTCTTTTCAGCATCAGTGCCTTCGGTTTTTGCTGCCCTTCAGCTTTGGCCACCAGAGGATGCCGGCAGGCATGCGATGGCTCTGCCTCCCAGTTGGCTTTACCCAGTTACATCTGCCGTGGGCGACAGGCAGATATTTGCACACACGGGGGACCTAGGTGAGACCCTTTAGCTATGGTGTGAAGGCCAAGCAAAACCATGACAGTCCTCACAAGGCATGGGATCAGTTCCCCAGACTTTCATCAGAAAAACCTCCCACGTGCCCATGAAGGGCTTGTGTTGGTAGGAGCAGGGCCCTAGTTTTACGTATCGTCAGAAGGCGTAGTGAGAGGAACTGCAGGAAAGCCGGACTTAGCTAGACAGAGCAGGCACTTCAGCTGGAGACCTTCCTTGCAGCCATCAGACACGCCGCCCATATCAGGTATATTTTCATAGCTTTTAATGTAGCTTGACAATTGCGTTGGAGACAAAGAAGGTGGCACAGTGTACAGGAAAAAAAAAAAAACATATCCCAAAATGACACCCTTTTATTTGTAAAGCTCTGATGGAACAACTTTCCAAATGACATCCCACTTAAAAACCAATGGAAACCAACCTAACTATGTGACAGTCACACTATACAGATTGCATCCTACACTTTCAAGATGCCTAAATATCTTATGGAGTATTTACATATGTATCAGTTAGGTAGTAAAGTTTCATTGCGATTTGTTTCTTTCCAGCACATACTTATTCAATGAAAAAAAAAAAAACTGGGATGCATTTTCATTTTTGTACAACACTTCTGAGCAAATGGCTAGGGCAATTTTCCTGAGAGAAGGCTTGTTCTTTGAAACTCTTGCTTTAACAGCTGGAAATATAGAAAGTGGATGGGGTTTTGTTGCACTAAAAAGCCTAAGGATGCCTAGTTAAGTTTTTCTTTTAAATTATTTACGTACCATTAAGTTAAAATGTTTACATTCATTCATTCGTATAAAAACCGTTGTTAAATCTTATGCAAATGATTTAACACTGATTGCTGCAACGCAAATTGCACTTCTTTAAAAAAATTATTGTATATATGGAAGAAAAATATCTGATTGCTACCCTGTTTACAAATTTCGACTGACTCTATGCAGTTCAGCCAGAAAACACGAACTTTCAGAAATCTCAGTCACAGTGTACTTTAGAAGTCATATCGTAGTCTTGCAGAGTGAGTAAATATTTTAAACCAAAAAAAACCAAACCCCAAAATCTCCTTAACCAGCTGGACCTTGTGAGACTTGTACCAAACGTTGTGATTTCTTCCAGGGGCATAGCTGGGCTCTGAAGAACAGAGCAAGGCACGCTGAAGATGGAGGACACGGGAGGAGAGGACCCACAGGGAGAAGACATCAAATGTTCGGTGTGAGACGTCTGTGGCGACTCAAGCAGTATGCACTTCTGAAGCTCATTAAAAAGTATCCTGCTATCTCTGGTAATTAAAGCCTTTGCTACTCCCTCCCCGATACTGATGACTTCCACCAAATTCTTGGGAGAGAAGGTGATGAGAGAGTAAAAACAACTATACGATCAGAAAGGCAGCGCTTCTGGGTAAGCCGAGAATGTATTTCTGGAATCTATCAATAGGTCTAGGTTTATATCTTCTTTTTTTTTATCTTTTTCTTTTCTTTTTTTTCTTTTTTTTTTCTTTTTTTTGAGAGTGTAAGGGTGCATTAGCTATCCCCTGGTGGGCATTTCCTTTCCCTATATTTTTCTTGCATAGATGAGGAACTGGATGCTTCGGCAGAGCCTCTTTCAGAGGCTGAAAAATACCTCTGCCACCAAGGCACGGAAACAATCTCATAGGAATGGTCTTTGCCAGCACTCTCGCTGCCTCCGTGACCGCTCTGCAGAAGAAACCGTGGACAGACGTCTAGGGGCTGCTGCGCAGTGCCGGGATCCAGCTTCTCTCATGCTGGGTCATGCCAGAGCCAGGGCACACCAGGGATCCTGTCTTACAGATGCTGTCACTTCGGCCGTGGAGGTCAGGCTGACTCCTGTGTAGAGCCCGTCTTGACCTGAATACTTAAGGTTGCTGCTTTCGGAACTGGTGCTCTCTCCTGTGCCAGACATCACCGATGAGCTCGCCTGGAGTGAGGGGAAGAACAAAGAGAGATTTCATTGAGCAGGCGGGCTTTGCACACACCGGAGTGTGAGTGGGAGCGTGGCAGGCTCGGGGTACAGCTGCTATCCCAGGATTTCTGTGGAAAGCCATAGTTTGTTCTCCACTTGCCACCGTGCCTCAAACTCCTGAAGCTGAAAAAAATGTCTCAGGGTCAGCCTGCTCATTCAGCCCTGCTGATGGGATTGATATCTGTGTTTGGAGATCAGCACCTGGCTATCTTCACAGCAAGGTGGAGAAGAAAGTGCATGATGTGCAGAAAAACCTGGGAATCAGACCATGATGAAGAAGGTAACGTGCATGTGTCCCACTGCCCCCTATTGAAGCGTCACAGATGCCAACACCAAAAATGTGATCCAGGAGTGATGGCACCTATAGTTTTGCTTCCCCAGTGAGAGAAGCTCAATACATCCCAATTCTCCAGCAGCAGATGCAGAGCGCCTCCTGGAAATCAGCCTGCTTTGGATCCCTCAGACCTTGAAATGCCTAAAATCATCCCTCGCTCTTCAAAACACTAGCCACAACCACTTCATCCCTGTAAGACTGTCCACTAAAGGAGACACTCCTTTCATCTCAAGTGGGGAAACACTATGCCTTTGAACCAGGAGCCTTTTTGTTCCGCCACTTACACGCACAAGACAACACGCAGGGGAGCCCCGGTAGGCACAGAGTTGAAGCTCTGAACTGCACTGGAACCAGTCCATTTATTTTCACAGAGAAAAGGAGAGTTACAAAGACAAAGACACAATCATTTTTTCCATGAGGCTGAGCAGATCCACTAAAGAGGAAAAATTTGCAGTGCCAGACAGAGAAGGGGCAACGCTTTCACCTGATAAAGGAAATGTTTCAAAGCTGACTTCATGCAAAATTAACTCTTGGATATGTCAACTTTAAAACTTTAATTTACTCCTTAATGGATAGTCTTCAGACGAGATTCCTTAAAAAGAAAAAAAAAAAAGACTATCCCAAACTGTGACTGCAGAAGCTTCCTGCCTGCTGTTTAAGTGAAAAGTATACATATTTAATCATTTTACAAGAGTAGAGCTCTTGGCTCTCCTGGAGCCGTGCCAAGCCAGCAGTCCTGACAAAGGCAAAGCAGGGCTTCACTTATTCAAAGGCAATCTCCAAACGGTGCTGTGCAGGGTTCTTGTTGCTGTGCTTAACTCAGGGAAAACCTCACCTTCTGGAAGGGATACTCATTGCCAGCAGTCACATTTGTCTAAAATATACTGAAATGCTCCAATATTTTCTTTATCTTTTATTACAAGGTTTGATCGTCACTATTCTCCCATGCAGTCATCAACCAGGACGCTGCTCCACCAGTCACTATCCAGAAATACAGAGAGGGAATGAACAACTGCTTGCCCCCCAGAACAGTCAAAATATCTCTAATCCTAAGAAATATGTTTGAATGCTCTCTCAAATACACAACTGTCAT